ACAATACCATTACTCAGAGATATTCCAGTGCAACTTCAGTCCTCGTGCCGGACAAAAGCGGTGCAATATTTAAAAAATTCCCGGTTCGACCTGCCCTACCTTTGCGCAGACGTGTTTTCGGGAGGAGACGAAAGCGTGTATTTTACTTACAGTAATTCGCAACCTCTTCAAGTTATATATCTCCGTTCCATAGCTAATAAACCTCTAGGACGTCCAGAATCTTTTTAAGAATCAGCGGCGCTAATCTCGGTGTCTAATGCGCATCCCAAGTCTGCGGACTGCTCGGTAATTCGCTGATAACTTGCCGCAGGAGATGATACCTCCTTGGAGTGTTTGTACGCAGTGAAATTGTCCTGTACCGACGCCTTCCTATATCGAGGGTCATCATCACATGTATGCGCGTGCAGCCTGCGCTTTGAGCCGCGCGCGAAACGAGATTGGTCCACTCCGGCCCACCGACCAGCTGCTGCGTGTGCTGGCTACTGATCCTCTTAGGACCTATCTTGACTGTGACTCTCGTGTAGTTTTAAAGGATCAGATAATCCTGCTCAGGGTACTGATGCATGAATAACAACTCATCCAGCAAGAGCTCCTTGGACTGCTTGTAGTCGTGATGCAAGATCACTCGCAAAAACGCTTTATCCCTGTTCGTAAGGTGCATATCGCTCGCCTCGCCTGACACACAAGTTGTTAAAGTTTTTGAATGGGACTGAATCCACTTACTGAGACAAACGGTCCCATATGAACGGCACGCTTCTCGGTGACCGCCCTCGCGCCAGTCAATTTTTTTGACATGCATCCGACCAATAGTAGAAGGTCAGACATCCGGAACAGCGCTTGAAGTTAGCCTTGGCTTGAATCGCGAGGCACTGGCAATGTGGCATGAAGGGACAGAGGACAACATGTTGTAGACCAAACTCACTTGAATGTTATCACATGCCTTCATTGAGATAATTTTCCCGGAGTTGTACGACTCGAGAAGCGTGAGTCGCTGACATGCAAGCGTTGCAAACGTATTCCAGTCTGCGTATATTTCCGATTGCCTAAATGCATCCGTAGCGATGAGCTCTGCTATATCTTCGATAGCGGGACCTGGTGCGGTGAGAGCACCGTGGTATATGAGATGATCAATGCTCGGAGCAGCTGGTGCTGGAGGGCCGCTGGAACACCGCTAAATCCACGCGCTTTTGCCAGTATCGTGCCAATGGTATAGAACATTTTAAGGAGAATTTTCTTGGTCCATGAGAGTCTGAGATCGCTCAAAGCACACAGCGCGTGTCAACGCTCAGATGATATCTTGAGAAGCGAGGGCGGTACCAAAAAATCCAAGAGGAGTCTCGACACTTTTCAGTACGCGAAGGAAGCGTTCCAAATGGTTGATAAATGTGAAGACGTCGGAGAGATAACGGACATGTAAGATGTTCATTACAGCTTGAGGGCTAGGAATAATTGCGTCCAAATTTCGGATAATGACCCAGGCGAGATCGTGCCGTGTCCCACCGACTCCGCCGATAAGGTTCGTGAGGTTATCGGGTTCCGTAATCCTTGTCTTTAATGAAGATACCCAAGCCGCTAAACAAAACTGCGCGCTGCTCGAGATTCGAGAGCTCGGGAAGGTGGACCCAGGTTTCTCCAAGAAAGGCAGCTCGTGAAATGTTGTCTTGCAGGTTTGCGCCACAGCCAGTAATGGCTACTCTGGATGAGTTGCGCAGATTTATCATACCCTCTGTCAACAGATTTCATATATATATGCTTTTCTGTAACCTTGCTTATACCGTCGAGATCTCTGTCTGACTCGTCGCACTGCCGACCGGCATTAGACTGTTTGCGCGACAGCCATTGGAGCCATTCAATGGCTTTATGACGTTGCACAGACTGATGGCTCCATGCCAAAAAATGACGTCAATGGCTTCGTGGAGCCATTCACCTGCCATTTCTGCGCAACGCCGCCATTAATGGCTGGCTCCAATGGCTGTTGCGTAAAGACTATTGTGCCTTCTTTGGGTTCATTCGCTTGCGTCGTCAACGTATGATGGCGAATGGGGCTGTATTGTGCTTGACTTGCGACCGACATAATCGCATCCACTCATTTCCATCAGAACACATGGTAGAAGGGCCTTACTGGATCCTTATAATGCGAATCTTCCGCCAAGTGATAAGTGAACTGAATATTGCAGCGAATTCAACTACAGTTTAAATATTACAGAAGAAAAATTATCTAACATATTCTGCAGACTGTATTTGTAAATAAGTAAGTAAAGAGAGTCGGGAATGAGAATCGGTAGTGAATTCGGGGCTCGGCCATCCGGAAGGCCGCCAGTGCCGGTTGATGTCTGATGGCATGTTGAATGGTCATTAATGATATCCGGCATGTTGAATGCCCGGTTACAACCCCTTAGGGGCGTTCATTCCCCAATGAAAGCTCTGATTACCGAGGAACAGCCAAAAAAGTGACCCAACCCATTGGGGTGCGTCTGTCGGCCCAATCGTCCCTGGGCATGGTTCGAGGGTATAAAAAGGCTCAAAACTTACACCCTTTCTCAGCATTCCTCGCCATGAAGTTCATCTCATATCTTGCTGGTCTTACCGTCGGTGCTGTCTCTGTTGCAGCACTGCCGCAGCTCAACATACCCGACAAACCTGTAACAGAGTACGACAAACTGCTGCAAAAGTGCAAAGCCGGCCCTCCCAACACTGTGTGTCCAGTGAAATTGACTTTATAATTTCGCTAATCGCCTCAACATCTAGTATGTCGCAGTTCGTTACGCTGAATCCGACGACTACGTGACTTTCGCTTTTGGGCAGTGCTACCCATACCGAATTGATGGAGCTCTCGCGCAAATGGCTGTCTTTTGCAAGTCGGCGACCTGCTACAATAATCCGTAAGAAAAATCTCGGCATTTCAAATCTGCTATTCTGACACTGCGTGATCCATAGAAACGAAGACTGCACTGGGGGCGCCGTCCCGCCAGTTCCTGTCCCAGTTGTGGCTCCTTTGGCCCTTGTGAATGTCGCAGACTGGGTTCACTTCATTGGATCAGCTGCTACTTGTAACCAAAACGTGCTCTCAAACCTTTTGCATTAGTTCAACAAATAGGATTTAGGTTTACAGCTCTTTGCGGAAGTAATGACACCTCCTAAAAATAGATTAAGAAAGAGCAATTTGAACACCCCGCATTTTTGGGCTTGTTTCTCGGTCAATTATGGCCAGATTAACATGATTTTGAGCGCGTTGGAGAGCGGGGAAGCAGGGCTTTTCACCTATGCCATGCAAATCAGGTACGGCTTAAGTCTTGTGGTCCTCAAAATTCGGGCTACAGACTTTCAATGTAACATTGAATTGCACGTTGCTCAGTGGATTTTGAGCCAATTCCAGCGGTTCTGGACTCATTTAGAAGGGAGAATTGAGGCACAGGACTGGAAGGTGCGATATTTTGGTTAAATGTCAAAATGACTACTGCTGAATGAACTGTCTGTAGCACAGACTAATTTCATTCTGTACAGTGTATATCGTGTGTGCCACACGGCTGAACATTTCACACTTGGTTGCCGCCTCTCCAGCTTTCAGAATGATTCGGATTGAAGTGAATCGGCCCAGAATTGGCTGAGAACTGGCCGTTGACGTGCCAAGGTCATACCACACAGCCTGAATTTTGAGATTTTGGAGTTTCTTGTTTAAATGGGTGGTTGGGATATCGTCTGAAACCGCTGCCCATGCGCTCTCTAAGGCACTATAAATTATCCAAATCTATTGAGAAATGAGCGAGAAATGCACTCGGCAATCCGGCGCATCAAAGTTGTTCTTATTCATCAAACTTTGATGGGTGTCATTACTTTCGCAAATAGCTGTAAATACTGGGATTTGTAGTATCATCCGACTTGCAAATTGAAGGATTGAGTTTGCATCACAAATCTTCCCATGCCCAATTTCTTGCATGTCCTCCTAAAAGGAGCTGAAGGGGCGTTTGTCTTCGGAAGTACGTGATTTTGATCGCTTTGCGTGAAAGTTCGTGACTTCAGCTGGATGTAGTAGAACTTCGTCACTTCCTCTGTACACTGTGAAAGCGTTACTTAGACCGTCGACGATCACCACATGACCGTGTCAATCCACGTGGAGAGTGCACGTTCATCGCGGGCGTAATGCACACTGTATTCAATTCAGGATCGGCGCACACGGCACATCGGAAGCATGGCACACACGCGCAATGGACGGCACGGGTGTTCTGTTCCTTGTCATCGGACGGACGCGCCGGCATGCAACGCGTCGAGGGGGGAGTGGTAACGTCAACAAAACGCGTTGGCACTTGTTTTGGCAGCTGCCAATGCACGCTAAACGAGCGGAGTTCCAATTCGTCACGCTCCAAAAACTCCTCCTCCAGAACGCAGCACCTCCTTCCCGGAAAAAAAAAAACTAAGGAGGCAGAAGGTTTATTATATGGTATCAGATACCTCTCAAATTTTTCTGGAAGCTCGGGGTGAGCTGGGCGGCCAGAACATCGTCATCTTCCAAAATATCGCTGAGTTTGATGGTTCAGGAACCCGTTCGCAATACCTTCCTCTTGCTGTATCTCATAGATTTTTCATAAAACTGTATTCAATTAGTACAGGTAACTATGGAAAAGAACTCCGAGGGAAAAGAGCAAGAAATGAAAGAGAAAAGTGCAAAATTCAGACCCATTGGGCGTAATAGTACGGCAACAACGGCGGCGTACAGAAGCCCTGAGTGATTTATCTATGAGGATACATATGAAAAACAAAAACCAGAATCACATAAAAAGTGTGCCTTCCAAAAAAAAACCTTATGCGACCAGCTCTAAAGCATGGCGCAGATGGAAACGCGCGGTCTCAAATCATCACGTGATCTCTGTTGAATTAATATATCGACGCCCTTGTCGCTGGCGGGGATACTCAAAAGTGTATCCAGTGGTCATAAAAGTAAAAGAATTCTGGAAAAAAAGAAAAAAGAAACCGAGACACCTCAAAGCTGTTGGCTCGGATAATAGCAGCAACTCGTTTCGATCGAGTGACCTCGGGGTTCCTGATTACGTAAATATGGGCCCCGCGCGCTTCCATCTGCGCCATGCTGCTGGAGGGAGCGTCGAGACAATGGGGCTGTGCTCAGGACGCATAGTGTAGACGAGGAATGAAATCGAGAAGTTGAATCTCATCGATCGGATCACGGGATGCCCCCAGAAAACACCGACAAATAAAGCAAGTCGCGGTCGGTCATGTGCTACAAGAGCTCGTCTTTCCATCTGTGGTACAAGACGGGCCTCCGCTTCGCTCCGGTGTCCAAGCTCTAAGGTGAATGAAGCCATGTGTATTATTGCAGTCAGACAGCATCCTTACAGCAGTACACAACCGACTCCGATACAATTAGTGTTGCTGATGTCCGGTCAGGTCCGGTTTTTTGCTAAAAAATCCGAACCCCGAACCTGACCTGGGGTCCGGTTCGGGCAGATTTTGCGAACCCCGAACCGAACATCGGTCCACTCCAGAATGGGTCCGGTTCGGGTTCTGAACAGGTTCGGACCTGAAAGAACCTCAAAAATATATAAAACAATCAGTCGCTTTTTAGCAACCATTTTTCGCCATGTCGCACGTGTAAATGGGTCTCCAGCCCACCAGGGAGGACTCACATGCAAGTCAATATGCATTTGTGTGTGTGCAGGTACCACAAAAACGGAAAGGCCAAAATGGGGAAAGGATGAACACGCAGCGGGACTCTGTATGCGATGTTCAGAGGTTTTTTGTTGACAACCAGAAAAAGGACTCGTATACTTGGGGTAGTTTCATTATTAGCCTACAGTTTGGGGAGAATGACAAACCACCGGGAAGCTACCGTAAGATGAACAGAGACCCGTCTTGGACGCGTTCAATGCGAACCCAACGCACCTACTCCCGGACGCGTCGACCGTGACACGTCAATTGACGTCCCCATTGAGAGCGTACACAGTCACGTAACTGCAGTGCTCGGTCAGACAACGCGAAATTTTTCGCAAAAAACTTGGCTTATTTGAGGTAAAAAAAGTAGAGGTTTGCACAGGTTCGAACATGTTCGAACAGGTCCGGTAAAAATTGAAGATTCTCGAACCCCGAACCGAACTTCGGGTTCGGTCCGGTTCTCAGCCATTGGCTGAACCCGAATTCAGGGTCGGTTCAGGTTCGGTTCAGGTTCAGAATCGGTTCTGAACCTGACCGCGGCAACACTAGATACAATTACTTCAGTGGACCACTCACGGTCAATTGAAAGAAAAGATAAAAATGCTTCAGCATAAGAAAAGAACGAGAAACACTTTGAGATCAAACGGCTAAACTGTCCAGGAAATTGGTAGGCCGAAGTGAGATTGCGCCTCCAAAGGACAACATAGTCTTGCGTCCAGTATCAGAAAAACGGGCAGGATATTATGCAACATATCAGATAAAGGGAGTTTTGCGTCGAAGGGTAGCGGATTGGAGGTCGGGGGAGTATATTTGTCCAGTAGCTCACGGCCATGGGACAAAAACGAACCCATAAATACAGAGGCCGTGAAATCTAGAAGGACACAGCGGAGGCGATAAACACATAACGAGTTGTCGGGGAGAGCAAAAGACATTGGCCCGCAGTAGGCAAATTCAGCATCTTCAGACCATGATTTGAGAGAAAATAAAATTGACACCCCATTTGAGCAATAGGATCGAGAACGGGAGGAGACTTGATCACGACGGCGCTATGATTGAAATACCGCAGAATTACTATGCACAGAAGTGTTTTAATCGGGGTAGAGGAGTAGAGAAGGCCCCAGCAGACAGAGCAGAGCCGACATTGATCCAAGAAATAGTGTTGCAGGCAAAGGAACTTGACGGGAAGGGAACCGGGGAGAAGATGACCGCTGGAACGAAAGGAATGCGGCGTCTTTATGTCAAGACTTGTCGGGAAGATTGCGCGGCTGTCCGGCCTGATGACAATGGAAATAGCTGCGCCGTAGGCAGCAATCAACTGCGATCTGTTACTGCGGGAAGGTCAGCTGTTCAGTCACCTGGGGCTCTTGGGAGAAGAATTCATTAAGGTTTCAAAAAGTCGAAGAGCGGCGCCAGAGAAGGACGAAAGGGATTAGAATAAATGGAGAAAGGTCAAACATGCACAAAGAATCGCCGAGCATTTCGTTAAAGAACGGTTAATGTGGTAGAAAAGAGGGTGATAAGATGCAGAAGGAAGGTGGAATATTCTTTGAACATCAGACTGATCAACAAACATCACCACACAAGGCCCTCGACAAGTTACGGTGTTTGCTTGGGAGATTTTGCGCGTAAGTCTTTATGACTTGAGAGCTCTCACGCTTCCCAACAATCTAGGCTTTTATTAAATTTTATTTATTGTACCAAGCTGGAGTCGGAAACCTAGCACGACTCGCAGTGTCCACTGTCTTGTCGCCTAGTTGTGTTTTCGGTTGGTACTCGTCAGACTTGGATTATCAAGAAATGTGTTGTATGGAGAGTTTAGCCACCGGCGGAACATTAGCTTTGATTCAGGCTGACCGAGCCGCTTGCCGAAAACGCGCTGGATTCGGTCCTCGTTTGACAGAAGGAAAGGAACCCATCTCTCGGTGTCGTATTTGTATACGACCCACAAGACATGCTGACCGTCCAGATCTCACAAAGGAACCTCTGCTCATGCATTTCACTTGGTATAAACGCGGCTTAAAAATGGGTGCTGGCCCACAAAAGTAGCCCCCGATGCTCAGGGTATCATAGTGTTCTCCCCTCACTCATCCGCTATATTTCAATCAGCATCGACACCCCAAGACATTCATAAAAATGCACGCACAGAAAATATGCGACTTGTCGCGAATATTCGGGCCTCCGCCTCCACCACCACCACCACCACTAGCGGATTTTTCGTTCATCGAAGGGACGTTTCCGGGCTGTGACGTGTTCTGGCCCTGGCTCTCGAAAAGCGCTGCTTCTCGATCGCGCTCAGCCATGGCTGCATCCTCACCGTATGTGTCGTTAAGCTTGCGGCACCATGCCTCCGGAACTGGAACGAATGGATTCGCGTCAATGAAGGACGAATATGTGTGGGCTGGACGACGCACATAGATCTATGAACCATCGGACACAGGAGCTGTCGCTACTGTGTGAGCACACAGCTGTAAAGAGCAGTCAGCGAGCGATACACGATGGGAGGGAGCGGACGCACAGCAGCACATGCAGCATGACAAGAACATTCCGCAACAGTCCAAGTTATCTGACATTGTAGGCCTGCCTAGTCGTCGTCGTAATGGAAAGAAAGTGCGAGGGCAAGGACGGTGAAGGGGGAACAAAGGACTCCAGCAGTGAACAGCGACGATCTCCTTGCTAAAATACTTCTGTCATGCAGTGCAAAGATTGAAGTTTCTGTTGTGAGAGGCTGTGCATACAGCAACCAATTGATGCATTGTTCGTCATGATCAAATGTGTACTTTGCCGAGGCCGAAGCCGAAAAGAATAGAAAGAGACGGGAACATATCGCCGGTGCGGGAGGGTGCGGGAATCAAAAAAATCAGGTCGATTCAATACTTTTCAAAAATACGACTAAATCCCTCGCAAACAGTTCGTGAATCTTGCTCGTCGGATGCAGGTGGTCCCTCCACACGGCACCACCGGCGCGAGTGAGGTGCTTCTTAGGAATCCCATGCTCTTTCGGATTGTCGAGGATGCGCGTGAAGGTATCAAGAGCGGAGAAGGTGAGCACTCGCGCATCGGGATGCGCGGCGGCGAAGTTCTGCACTGATTGGCGGAGACCAGAGTTCCAGTTCAGGTATGTGGCACTGATATCGGAGGAAGCACCTTGGCCTGGATGGATTTAACTTGAACATTCGCTTCGGAGAATGGCTAAATATGTACCTGCGGGAGACCGTCCAATTGGTGGGACATCTATGAATAGAAATGCACGTGCCCCGGCCATGTACAATTTGTCCTGTAGGCTGAATAATAATTCCAGTGTATCTTCATGGGTCTGTGCGTACCTGGAAACACGGTCGGTACAATATCTGTGGGAGGACTGGCTTACCTACGCGCAATCATTTATTCCGACCCATGTTACTTCGTTTCTGTATGAGCGGTGAAACGACGGCGATGGACGGGATGGTCACCGAATAACGAATCCGCAGCATCCCATGGAAGCCCATCTGCGGTGCGGTCCATCGCATAACCGGCAAGGAAATTTTGATTCACCTGGGTCTCGACGGCGCCGCCGCGTCCAAGTGCCGGGACGCGCGCGCCTCCAACGGCGTAGTCGTGCACAAGTAAATCAGGATGCGGATCATGCTGCATGAGAAGATATCCGACCCAGTTGGTGCCGTCAGTGTCGGCATATGTCAGGTACTTGTATGGCACGGTGACACGGTCTAATTTTGTCGGGGGAGGCAAATTCGCGGCGTAACCAACCGCAGAGTACGAGTCGCCGCTGATGTGAAGGAGTTACCGAGCAGCGGCGGTGGGAGGCGGAATATAACCCACAAGATGAAGAGGTTCTTGAGCGACTGGAATCCTGGCCAAGATGAACTGTCATTGAACGACATGTTGTTTATCTTTAACGAGGGGCCATCCGTGAGTCCATTCGGACTGTCGCCGGGTGCATTGTCCTGCTTTTGCGCTAGTGACGTGGAACCCGTAACGCCGTGACTTGGGTTTGTTTTTACCACCATCATCTTCCCTTGGCAGCCTCCTTTCACGACCTGTGCGGTCCTTCGCTGTCGATCTTGTACAGCGACATCTCGAATGCTCGTCAGATGAACGTTTCTTACGCGACTCGGCACGACTCTGCGCGGATAAGACCTTGACTAGCATCGACGGCAAGCAACTTCGACATATCCTTGGACAGAATCGACAAACATGAATCATTCAATGTCATGGATACCTCCTCCCCAATTGCTCCAACTCCGAGACTAACTGAAACGATACTTGAGCCGCTCGCCCGATTTGTATCACTGTCCGGTGGCTGGGCCGCAACCCGGGATTACTAGGCGCCCCGCAATTGTTCTCATACACACCGGAAGTGCGCTTTGGCTGTCTTTAATGTCCCTCTTCGAATTCTCTTAGATTCAGGAACCTTCAGACGGGCATCT